GCGCTGGCGGGGCCGGGCTCGGGCTGAGGCAGCCGTACCCCAGGCCCAGATGGTGCCCCTTGCCTCGCCCGCCTGCAGGGCCCCGTCTGCAGGACCTGCCAGAGGACTTGACTGAGGACCTTCTCCCCACAGTGCAGCCAAGGGCAGCCTCGGGGTCCAGAAGTCCGCGCCCAGAACTGCCGGACGCCAGCTCCGTCCTCTCTGTGTGCGCGCTGCCCCAGGGTGACACCCCCCCAGGCACACCCTATCTGGAGAACCCGGATGCTCTCGAGCAGGACCCCACGAGGCCTGTCCAGGCACCTTGTCACCTCTCCAGGAGGCGACAAGCTCGCTCACAGCCGAGGGCGAACCGAGGTGTGCAGAGCTGCCCCGTGACCCTCGCTTTAGGACAAGCCCTCTCCCCCGGCAGCCGTGACGCATCGCGCTGGCCGTTTTCATGGGTGTGCCTGGCGCGCAGTGTGGCCTTCTGTGCTGGGCTTCTATGAGCGTGACGCTTCCTGCACAGGAAGACAGGATGTTGGAGTGACACATCTCCGTGACAGGGACCGCCGAGGCTACCAGCCAAGCACCGGGCGCTGGGGGCGCGGTCCGGCCAGCAGCCTGGCTGCGGACTTCCAGCCTCCGGAACCGAGAGGACTCTGCCGTCGTTTCAAACTGCCAGCCCATGGCCCTCGGTCACAGAGCCCCAGGAAGCGGGGCGGGGGCGGTGGTCACTCCTGACCACCGGTTCCGTCACCGGACTCGGAGAGCGTCCGTGGCTGGCTGCCGCTGGCCCGTCGGCCCCCCTGGGCCCTGTCGAATGTTCTGAGGCTCAGCCGCTGGCAGGGCCGCTGCTCCTGCCTGAGCGCGCTTTACTGTGGCGCTAACACAGCCGGCCCCGTTCCTTCTGATCGGCGTTTCTGTGGGAGTTTTTCTTTCCTTTTACTTTTAAAGTGCAATTCTTACCGATGGCATCGTTTTCTGTTTTTGTTTTGTTGAAGTTTCGTTTGGACGATAGTGTAGTTACTGACGTGCTTAGGTGAAACGTTCCCATTTTGTCGTTTGTTTTCGGAGGTTCTGTTTTTGCTCCCATGTCCCCTTTCCTGCCTGCGAAGATCTGGCATTTCCTAGTATTTCTGTGTCTCTGTCGCGATGCTGACTCCGCGACGTGTCTATAGCAGCTGGCCTCAGGGCCACACGTGCTGACTCAGCAGTGCGACCGGCAGCGGTGTTTGCACGGCCGTCGGGATGTGGGAACCTCGCCGCCTTGTTGCCACCCTGCAGGCCCTTTCCCTGCTCCCCCAGCCCCCCCATGTGTGCAGAGAACCCCTGGGAAAGCGGCGTCCCTGTCCTGCACCTCCAGACGCCACGAGCCTGCCATCCCTGCCTCCCCCCCGCACCCCGGGCTCCCTGTCTCCTTCCCCGTCGCTTGTTGCAACAGCTTCTGCTCTCAGCAGGTCCGCTGGCAACAGACACTCCTGGCCTTCTTTCCTTTGAGAATGGATTTCACCTTATTCACGAAGGACGTCGTCACCAGATACAGAATTCTGGGTCGACAGCCTGTCTTCCCCAGAACTCGAAAATACGCTACTTCTTCTGGCCTCCGTGGTTTCCGACGAGAAGCCTGTGTTCCCACCACTGTCCCCAGGAACGGAGCTGTGTTTTTCCTCACTGTTTTCAAGACTTTCTTTTCTTCAAGTTTTAGCCTTCTGGCCGGACGTGTCTAGGTGTGGGTGTCTTCGAGTTGATCCTGTCTTGTATTCAGGCATCTCCTCGAGTCTGTAGCCTTGTAGCTTTCACCATGTTCGGGGGTTTTCAGCCATTCGTTCTTCAAACCCCTCTCTGCTGTCCTTTGGGCGTTTACTGTCCCACGGTCCTCAGGTCAGGCGACCTCCGTCCACCCATCTCTTCTCAGCCAAGTTGCTCACTTTTCCTCTGTCGTCTTCATTCTGCTGTTGAGGCTGCCCAGTGAATTTTTAAATTTTGGTTCGATATAGATTACTGTTGAACTGTACACCCGAAACGCACTGGATTTTGTTAAAGAATGTCACTATTAAAAAAAAAAAGTGAACCCTTCCTCCAAAAATAAAATAAACTTTGGGTTATTGGCTTCCCAGTTCCAGCTGCATTGCAGACTTCTGTTTGGTCCTCTGACGCCCCGTTTCTTTGCCAAGCCTTTGGTGGTGTCACATCCAGGCAGAACGTCTGCTCAGGCGCTTTCCTAACCCCCGCCCCGGAGTCCTCGTTAGAGCTTTTCGGCGTCTGTGTCTGTCCACCCTGAACGTCCTCCCCTTTTGAGTTGACATTTTTGTGGCTCTTCCTGTGCCAAGCAATTGCAGATTACGTTCTGGACATTTCAAATACCACTCAGATCTGAGTCTTCTTAAATCTCGTGGACAATGCTGGTCTCTGTGTCACGGGCAGTTGGCCTTGTCAGTTCTGGCCGTCATTCCCACTGCCGTCTGGCCTCAGCCTGGGACTGGGGTGCAGGGCTGCAAGCTCATAGAGTCTTGGGTCTGATCACTGGAGCAGGTCACGCCTGCAGCCCAGGGGACCGTGGCTGTCACCGCCACCTCGTGGGCTGTTCGGAGGGTTTTGCCTGCACAGACCTGAGCTGCTTCCTCTACACAGGGACCCGTGCACCCCACTGTCCCCTGCGCTGGAGCAGCACAGCCCGCCTCCCGCCGCGACTGTCCTCCAGACTCCACCGTGTCGCCCCCTCTGCTCCGTCTGCTCGCCGGCCCTCACTCCACATGGGTCTCGCCCAACCTTTTGTCCGCGGATGGACCTTTAATTTTAGTCAGCCTTCCTGTTTTCAGTTGGCCCCCTTTAACTTTTAAAAGTGTATGTTCTTGATGCCTGTCCCCTGCTTTTGTTTTATAGTTCTTACTTTTTCCTTGATGACTTTAAATTAGATATATTTTAAGCCCTTTTCAGAAAATTGCTTCCTGTCTCCAGCTTCTGAGGAGCGTGCTTGCGTGTGTGGAGCGTGCTGGTGACTTTCCGTGGCATCAGCCTGCAGCTCTGGTTGCCACTTTTGGGCGCCTCTGGTGCATAATGTGTTGTGTCCTTGCTGCCGAGTTTTCCTCCTGTCCTTGTTCTCACTGTGTCTCTTGGTTCTAAGATGAACCCCGGCAGCCTGAGGCTTCCCCACTGTCCCCACGGGTTAGGGCTTCTGTCCTCTGGGCCTGTTGCCCTCCCAGCCAGACTCCCCACCGGCCTGGCTTCCCTGATCCTCTGTGCCCAGGGGCGCTGCCCTGCCCGCTCCCTGTGGCCCTCACAGCCAGCTGAGGCAGCCCCTGCTCTCTGCTGCCTCTGGCCTCATCGCCACTGTTGGTGGCCACTCTGTGTGGAATGGAGGGCAGTTCAACACAAGCTCCACGTGCAGCCAGGGGCACTCATCAGGTCTGCTGTCCCCATCAGCACCCCAACCTGTTACTCTCCCAGGAGGTCCTGACATGAATGAGGACAGCCAGGTGAGCCCCCAGGACAGGCCTAGGCAAGCCTGAGGGTATAGCCAGGGCCAATTCCTGCCCTTCCATTGTCATGTGGCTGGCCTCACGGAGCTCTGCTTCCCGTCCCACCCCCAGAAGGGAACGCCCTGGAGCAGGGGTCCCCAACCCCTGGGCTGTGGACTGGTACTGGTACCAGGCTGCACGGCAGGGGGTGAGCACTGGGCGAGGGAGCGAAGCTGCATCTGTATCTGCCACTGCTCCCCAGCGCCAGCATCACCGCCTCAGCTCCGCCTCAGACCGTCAGGCATTAGGTTCTCATAGGAGCACTGGTCCCTGGTGCCAAAAAGGTAGGGGATGGCTGCTTTAAGTCTGTCCTAAAGGGCTTTGGCAGAAAGTGACTCAGTGACTCAGCATAGAAATTCCAGGACAGGACTTTAACTAAAAAAAAAAACCTGCACAGACCTGAGCTGCTTCCTCTACACAGGGACCCGTGCACCCCACTGTCCCCTGCGCTGGAGCAGCACAGCCCGCCTCCCGCCGCGACTGTCCTCCAGACTCCACCGTGTCGCCCCCTCTGCTCCGTCTGCTCGCCGGCCCTCACTCCACATGGGTCTCGCCCAACCTTTTGTCCGCGGATGGACCTTTAATTTTAGTCAGCCTTCCTGTTTTCAGTTGGCCCCCTTTAACTTTTAAAAGTGTATGTTCTTGATGCCTGTCCCCTGCTTTTGTTTTATAGTTCTTACTTTTTCCTTGATGACTTTAAATTAGATATATTTTAAGCCCTTTTCAGAAAATTGCTTCCTGTCTCCAGCTTCTGAGGAGCGTGCTTGCGTGTGTGGAGCGTGCTGGTGACTTTCCGTGGCATCAGCCTGCAGCTCTGGTTGCCACTTTTGGGCGCCTCTGGTGCATAATGTGTTGTGTCCTTGCTGCCGAGTTTTCCTCCTGTCCTTGTTCTCACTGTGTCTCTTGGTTCTAAGATGAACCCCGGCAGCCTGAGGCTTCCCCACTGTCCCCACGGGTTAGGGCTTCTGTCCTCTGGGCCTGTTGCCCTCCCAGCCAGACTCCCCACCGGCCTGGCTTCCCTGATCCTCTGTGCCCAGGGGCGCTGCCCTGCCCGCTCCCTGTGGCCCTCACAGCCAGCTGAGGCAGCCCCTGCTCTCTGCTGCCTCTGGCCTCATCGCCACTGTTGGTGGCCACTCTGTGTGGAATGGAGGGCAGTTCAACACAAGCTCCACGTGCAGCCAGGGGCACTCATCAGGTCTGCTGTCCCCATCAGCACCCCAACCTGTTACTCTCCCAGGAGGTCCTGACATGAATGAGGACAGCCAGGTGAGCCCCCAGGACAGGCCTAGGCAAGCCTGAGGGTATAGCCAGGGCCAATTCCTGCCCTTCCATTGTCATGTGGCTGGCCTCACGGAGCTCTGCTTCCCGTCCCACTCCCAGAAGGGAACGCCCTGGAGCAGGGGTCCCCAACCCCTGGGCTGTGGACTGGTACTGGTACCAGGCTGCACGGCAGGGGGTGAGCACTGGGCGAGGGAGCGAAGCTGCATCTGTATCTGCCACTGCTCCCCAGCGCCAGCATCACCGCCTCAGCTCCGCCTCAGACCGTCAGGCATTAGGTTCTCATAGGAGCACTGGTCCCTGGTGCCAAAAAGGTAGGGACCGTCACCCTAGAGGACATGACGGAAGCTGCTGAAACCACATGGTGCCCATGGCACTAGGGGCTGGATGCAGCTCACCTTGGCCCCCAGGCCCAGCCCTGCTCACCCCGCTGCATGCCGTCCCTGGCCCTTCGGAGCACGTGCCTGGGTCACGTGTGTCCTTTACGTCTCCCTGCTGGCAGCGAGTGCACAGCATGGTGGACGTGCTCAGGTGTCTCCTGCAGGCTTTGGCCTCAGCGCCTCGGAGGTCGTGGGAGCTGTGATTGGGGCTGCCCCATCGCCCGCTCAGCACAGCCCCCGGGCTGTGCCACCCATCAGGTGGACAGGCCTCGCAGAGGCCACGCAGACAGCACTGGGCCATGCCCTGCACACACACATTGGACAGCGGTGTGCTGTTGCCAACTGTTTATTCAGGTCCTGAATAGGTGACTAGTGACATGCAGTTCGCTGGGGCCCACGGCAGAGTGACCCACCCTGCCGACCAGAGTGGGCACCCGCGGTTCCCAGGGTAAGATCAGACCCAGGAAACGCTGCCCAGGGCCCGCCGAGGGGTACGTGTTGTGCTGACTCCTCCCCGGGCCCAGGCCTGGGGAAAAGGGGAGTGGAGACCGGGGCCCCCAGTGTCCTGTGCACCACAAGTCAGCCAGGAGGCCACCCTGGCCGCCCCAGCACTAAGCGTCATGGCTGCGGGAGGCGGTGTGTGTGTGCACGAGCGTGGTGGGGGTCGGGCTGCCGGCCCCGCGGGACCCCCTTCCTAAGGCATTACTGCTGTGGGCTTCTCTGCCCGCGACGCGGTCTGGGCAGTGGCTCGGCCCATGGGAAAGGGCCACAGCTTCCATGGCGTCCTCAGTGAGTCCCAGCAGCTCGAGGACACCCAGCACCCCCTGCTGGTCAGCGCCTCTGGCTGGCAAACCAGGAGAAGAAGGGGCGGGGCCTCGGCCGCGGGGCCTGGTGGATGCGCACTATGCGCGGCGAGCGCCAGGCTTTGATGGTGGCGTCATCGCTGGCGGTCAGCAGGAGCTCCTGCTCCTGGGGGCTGAAGACCACTGAGTTGACCACGTCCTGGTGCCGCAGCTTGGCCAGGCAGATGTTGTAGTGGCGGTCCCAGATGTAGCCGTGCCGGTCCTCCGCCCCGCTGCAGGACAGCCTGAGATGAGCCCCCGCCGCCATGCTGGGCCCCGCCCCGCGGGTCCGAGCGCCTACCTGGCCACGAAGTCCCGGCTGACGTCCAGGAAGATAAAGAAGCATTCGTCATTGGGCGTGTAGGCGCGGTGGGCGCGCAGGGCCCTCTTCACCTCCCGCATGGTCTTGAGGTCGAACACTAGTAGGTCGATCTCCTCCGCGATGGGCGGCGGCTGCATGGGGTCGGCCACCACTGAGCCGCTGGGCCAGGCGCGGCTGTTCACGTACAGGTACCTGGGCGAGGGGCACTCTGCTCGCTGGTGCGTGCAGCCTGCAGGCACCCCCACCCAGGCCACCACCGGCGCACACCTGTTGTCGGGGGACAGGCCCATGCCGATGATGTGCCCGTGCACGTCGATGACGTGGTCCAGGGCGTCGAAGAAGGCGTCAGAGCCCCGCCCCTCGCCCAGCACGGGCCCTGCCGTCGTCATCTGGTGTGGCAAGATCTGCTTGATGCCTGCGCAAGAGCCAGGTGAGGAAGACCCTGTAGCTCCCAGAGCCCCACGGGCCCCCCTCGGCCTCCACAAGAACATGCACTCCGGGGAGGCGGCGCCAGGGCGGGCCCCCAGCAGGGACATGAAGCGGACTGTGCCCAGGGCTCTGGGGGCTGAGGCTTGGCCTGCCCGCGGTTACCGATCTGGTGTGGCGAGTAGGTGAGGCAGCCGGTGGTGAAGATGAGGAGCTTGCTCTGGGCGCCGGCCGCGCTGCGCTCGGGGGGCTTGGTGCGGCCCTGGGCCAGCAGCTCGGCCACCTTGGTCTCCAACGCGCGCTCTGCCAGCTGTGGCTGCGCCCGCGTGTCCAGGAGCCCGTCCAGGGGGCGTCGCAAGCCCTCCTTGGCGCGCACCAGGACCGGGCCAACCGCCTCCTCGTCGCCCTCGCCATCACTGCCCAGGTCAAAGATGCGGCCGGGAGGCGCGCCGGCATCCAGCAGGAGGTCGGGGCTATCGAAGCGGCCACAGTCTGCCACCATCACGGTGCGGATGGTGCTGGCGTTGAGGTTCTGGATCTTGAAAAGCCGCTTCACCACGTTGACATTCTCAGACTCCACGTCCTGGGCGGGGCGGAGGGGGGGCGCACAGGCAGTGGGTGCCAGGCCGGTTAGGAAGGATCAGAGACGCGGGGCCCACCCGCCCGCACCTGGAAGGCGTTGTTGAGCCAGAGCACCGAGCAGGAGGTGATGTCTCCAATGCGGTGCAGGTTCCCCGAGATCAGGCTGGTCTCTGTGAGCCAGCAGCCGAACACGTCGTAGGGCTTGTTGCGCACACGGGACAGCAGCGCGAAGTTGTCTGCGGGGAGCAGGAGCTGGGCAGGCGGCGGGGGCGGGGCCAGTGGGAAGGGGCGGGGCCAGCGGGAAGGGACGGGGTGGTGGGGAGGGGCGGAGACCGGGCCGCCCCACGCCCACTCTCACCTAGGCTGATGACCGCGATTTCGCCAGAGGAGGAGTTGTGGGGCCCCAGGAACACCCCCGAGGCCAGCAGCAGTGAGTCGTCCTGGTTGAACTGGGAGAACTGGGTGTAGCTCCAGTTGTACGGCCGCATGTCCGCGCTGTGCAGCAGCGAGATGGTCAGGTCGTTGTTCCAGATCTGCGTGGGGGGCGGAGTCAGAGGAGCACGCAGGGCTTGCGGCAAGTGGCAAGCCCCAGTGGCTCTCCGGGCCATCTGGGCCAAGGGGGCACTTAGAAACCGCTGTCAGCCTGGCTCTGGAGCAGGACCCTCCTTTCTGTTGGCAGTTAGGGATGTCCCACCCCAGCCTCCCATCCTGTGTGGTCCTGGTCTAGGTGCCTTTTCCCTGACCTGGCCCTCTCCACAGGGATGTCGCAGACTGGGCCATCTCTCACCTCTGGCCTGGCCCTCTCTTCCCACCTGGGAGTGCTGCCTGGCTCCAGGCCATCACCTCTGCTGCCGGCACTGGCCCCGCCCCCACCCCCGCCCCCGGGGCTCCCTCACCTTCACTGTGCAGTCCTTGGAGCAGGACGCAAACTGGCAGCCTGAGTGGGAGAAGCTGAGGTGCAGGACCTGGTCAGTGTGCTCCTGCAGAGTCTGCACCTCCACGCAGGGCACTGTGTCATAGAGCCGCCGGAATTCGTCGTACCAGGACGTGGCCGCTGTGGAGGGCGGGGTCACTGCTGGGGCCCCAAGTCTTTCTTCCCACAGAGGCCAGGTCCCTGACAACATGGAGGCCAGCTCTGCCTCGGCACACACACGAGTCACCACGCAGCCTCAGCTGGGGCCGGTGTGGCCCTGTCCACCCCTGGCCTCCCTGCCAGGCCCTGCGCTCTGAGGCATGGCCTGGCTGTGCCCTATCAGTGCTCGGCACTGTGGCTTCAGGAGATGGCAGCATGAGGATGGCCCTGCCTCCCAGCCGGCCAGCCTGCTGGGCCACGGAGCCTCGTGTAGGTGCTGACCTGGGTGTCGGGGGACATCTCGGGCCACCTGGTAGTAGCGGTAGAACTGCTCCCTCCACAAGAACTCGTCCCGGGACACAGCCTGCCATTGGCGGCACACCAGCCCAGCGGCCAGCACGTCTGCTGGGCCCAAGCTCAGGAAGATCTGGTAGATTAGGCTGTCGGGGAGCAGGGGCGTGCCCCCCTCGTCCATCGTGACATTCTGCCCAGGCGGCCCTGAAATCCACGTACGGCCTCATTAGACACGTCAGATTGGGGGTGGGGTATTGGCCCCCAGGCCAAAGAGAGGCATCCTGGGGGCCGCTGCCTTGCTGGGAATCTCCCTGAGCTTGTGTCGAGGGCCCGCTGGCACTGCCCACCCAGCCAAGGTGCCGATGGCTTCACTAAGCCTCCCTAGACAACCATGCTCCTTGACTCCTGTGGGTGCCCTAGCAAGTTCCAGACATCCTTGAACGGGCAGTTTCTGGGCAGGCAGCAGATACCTCAGTACGTCCAGGCCTGGTCCAGCCTGAGGTAGAGCATGCGGAGGGATCCCAGGGGACCCCAGGCCTTGGGGACAAGCCATCCGGTGGGGCCCTCTGACCTCCCCCCCACAACGTGGGCCAGGGCAGACATCTGGATGCCAGGGCTGGCGACCACTCCAAGACCAAAACACGAAGCCGTGGCCCCCGGAGCACTCCTGCCACTTTGACCTTGTCGCCCCAAGGCTTTGGGGCTGTCAGCATGACAAAGGGCCTTCCCAGAAGAGGCTTCGAGCCATCGGGACAAGGGCCAGCCTGCCCGTCCCAGACGCCGATAGAGGCCCTTAGCCTTTGCCCTGTGGCCTAGGGGAAGCCTGCCAGGCAGTCAGCGGGCCAGCACGGCCACTGCCCGGCAAGCTGGGGGCGGGGCGAGGGCGGGGCCGCCCAGCGCCCCCTCCCACCTTCCTTTGGAGGGGCTGCCGGGGGCGGGGCCTCGGCGACTCATTCATTGGCGGAAGCCGCGGCTGGAGGCCGGGAACCAGGAGCCAGGGGCCCGGAAATCGGGGGCCGGGTGACGACGCGCCCCTGGGGCCGGAAGCCGGCGTCCGGGCCGGGGATCGGGGTTTAGGACCGGGTGACAGCGCTCCCCGGACTGGATGACGTCGTTCCCCGGGGCCGGGCGCACTCACCGCGGCCGCCTCCGCCTGGCTGTTCTGCCCCCGCCCCGGCGCCGGGCCTCGACCCACGGACCCGCTTCCGCCCGCCGCCGCTCCAGCTGCCTCGTCTCTATTGATGGAGGCCGCCAGGCCGACGCCACGAGCCCCGAGGCATCGATGGCTGCGGGGACTCGAGCGCTCGGCGGCCTGCGTCAGCTGTTCCTGCGCCTGCGTCCTCGGGCTCGCCCGGAGGAGCGCCCCTGGCGGCCGGGAGGAGCAGCGGCGATGCGCCGGGCCAAACGCGTGGCCGCCAGTTCGAGACCCGGCTCTGGCGCTCGCCGTTTTCGAGCCCTGAGCAAGCGGCTTCCGAAGCCCCGAGTTCTTCGTTGTGGGAGTCAGACCAGCGCCTTTCTCAAAAGGCTGTTGGCGGTTTAAGGGAGATAAATGGGCAAAGGCAACGGTGGATATTCAGCGGGGCCTCCTGGACAAATAGCCAGAGGTCATCTCCGGCTGTGTACACAAGGCATGGAGCCAGGGTCCTGCCAGGAAGTGCAGGGTCGAGGTCGGAGGTCCGGGGCGAGGCCAAGCTCATGGGGAGGCTACTGGGGGGACCTGGTCCTGGGCGGGGGCTTGGGGAGGACGGATGTGGACTTCCTGGACCAGGCTCCTGGGAGGCACTGGACAGTGGACTCCGACCCGGGATTCAGCCACCCTGCCCTTGGTTCCCCCAGTCCCGTCACTGCCGCCGCCACCATGCTGCTTCCCAGGACTGCACTTCTCTTGACTCTGCTCCTGGCCGCTGGCTCCCTGGGTCAGAGGGCTCGGAGACCCCCTCGGCCCCTGTCCCCCATCAGTGCCATCCAGCCCAAGGCCAACTTCGATGCTCAGCAGGTTGAGTTGGGAGGAGGTAGGGGCGGCAGGAGCTTGCCCAGCCTCATAGGGGTCAGACCTGGGTCCCCCATCCCCTCATGCCCTTGTGTGGCCTGTCCCCAGTTTGCAGGGACGTGGCTCCTTGTGGCCGTGGCCTCTTCGTGTCGCTTTCTGCAGGAGCAGGGCCACCGGGCTGAGGCCACCACAATGCAGGTGGCTCCCCAGGGCACAGCCATGGCCATCGACACCTTCCGAAAGCTGTGAGTCCCCAGTCCCACCTGGGCTCCCAGCTCCCACCCCGGCCCCTGACCCTACTCCTGCTGTTCCGCGAGGTGGCCGAGCCTGCTGTGCCTCCCACCCCACACCCCTAGGGACGGCATCTGCTGGCAGGTGCGGCAGCTCTACGGAGGCACGCAGGTCCCGGGCCGCTTCCTGCTGCAAGGTGAGGCAAGGGCAGTGGGAGGGGACAGGGCTGGGCTGGGGGCTGACGCGCCGGCCCGGCTCTGCCCAGCTCTGCCTGCCTCTGTGCAGCTCGAGGCGCCAGGGGGGCGGTGGATGTGGTCGTTGGGGACACGGACTACCAGAGCTTCGCCATCCTGTACCTGGAGCGGGCACGGCAGCTGTCGGTGAAGCTGTACGGTGCGTTCGGGCGGGCCCCTGGGCTCCGTGCACACTTGGCCTGTCTAGGGGGGACCGGGGGAGCCCAGGTGCACACACAGACCCTCCTGACCCTCTCCTGCTAAGCGGATCCAGGGAGGCGTCCCTGCAGATAGGGACAGAGCCCACAGGAACAGGGATGGGCGGGGGCCAGGCAGTGGCCGGGTATGTCACAGACATGCAGACCCCATCCCCAGAGCACCCTGCCCCCCACCCGTGGGTGCCCCCCAGGAGCCCTGTGTGTCCTATAGCCCGCTCACTCCCCGTGGGCGACGCGGCCCTCAACACCTTTGAGCAGCGAGTCCAGGGGGCCAACCTAACCGAGGACCACATTTGGTTTTTCCCCAAATACGGTAAGTGGCCCCCGTGGCTGCGGTGGCCCGCCCGCCCTCCCCGTGTGCCCACCCCGCCGCCCTGACCCCTGCCTGGGCCCCCAGGTTTCTGTGACACCGCAGACCAGTTCCACATCCTGGACGGTGAGTGGCAGCATGGCTGGGCACCGCGCTGGGGGCGGGCGGAGTGTCCCTCCCTGGCTCAGTGTCGTCTCTGTGCTGCAGAAGCGAGGAGGTGAGGCCAGCGGCACCCCACGGAAAAGCGTGAAGACCCCTCCGTGAGCCCAGCACCCCACTGGGCCAGGGCCACCCCACTGGGTCTCCCACCACCCCAAATCTGCCCCCACCAGGACTTCGGGGCATTGCCCCAGTAAACACGGTCCTTCTCAGCCTGACTCCTGCCTGTGCTCGCTGGCCCCGGCCTGGGGCCTCTGCCTGCGGTCATCGCATGGGCACGTGGGGCTGCACCCCGGTGGGCCGGAAGGGGCCCTCCCCAGGGCGGCGGGCTGGGGAGCGCTGGGCCCTGCTCTCCTGGGCCTCGGTTCCCCCTCCTTGGTTGAGCCCCTTCCGCACGGTCACAGCTGTCTTTCCCCACCCCTGACACAGACAGGCCGCCAGCTTAGAGGGACGCGGAACCCACCCCCAGGCCTCCCTGGCCTCCTGCTGACCTCTGAGTTCCCTCCTGGGAGCCAGGAGCCCAGAGTCCCAGGGGCTCTTGGCCTAGGCAGGACAGGCCACTGGGGAGGAGCAGGGAGACCCCATTCTGGTTCCTGGACGTGGCGTCCAGGTCTGGGGTGAGCTGGCATCTGTCTTAGGAGGGCAGGAGGTTGGGCTGCCCTCGTGGCCAGGCCAGGGGCTGGCAGGTCCAGACAGGACTCGGGACTGGCCTGGGAGCAGGACTGACCTGGGGCCGAGTCCCCTCCTGGGATCATCCTGCGTCAGGGAGACCACGTGGGCAGGCAGGTGGCGGGCACAGAGGCGGGGGTGGGTCTGTACCCGAAGCGGGGGCAAGCAGGCCAGCGTACTTCCTGTGCCAGGATTGGGGGGAGCATGAGGGCTCTGGGCATGCAGGGGGGAACCCCTGACACAGACCGGTCAGCCCCCAGGAGCCCACACCCAGGGTCTGGGCAGCGCCACCAGCTGGAGAGACCTGGAAGCAAAATATCCTCTGTAGGGAACTTTCCAGAACATGGGGCTCCAGAACCTGGGGAGAGGGAGGGGCTGAAACAACGGTGACCTGTGCCCCCAGTGGCTGCCTGGTGGGGCCCCTCTGTGGGTGGAGGGCCCCCAGGGTGAACTACATACCCCCCATGCAGCGAGGTGCCGGCCACCCTGCCTGTCCCTCACCAAGGGTCCCCAACAGTAGAGAGAATGCTGGGAGAGGAGAACCAGGGTTGCAACCAAGTGACCCCAGAAGAATGACGCCAAGGTCACTCTAGGACCAGCTAGCGCCTCTCTCCCTCCAGCTCAGGGGTCCCGGGGAGGGTAGGGACAGCTGCCCACAAGCTGGAGGAGGAAGTTACGCCCACTGTGGGGACAAGGTCTGCGCTCGGTGCCGCCCTAGCTGGTGACAGCACTCACCCCCACCCCCACCCCGTTAAACAGCTGAGGGCCTTCTCGCGTGTGGGAGGGCAGCGCAATGTCAGCAGCCCCGGAGACCGGAGAGGGGCTGCACCCCACACGCACTCACCAGCGCCCTGACCGGTCTGCGGGCTCCCTGCTCCCCATGGGGGGCCAGCTCGCCCTGCGCTCCCCTGTCAGCCCCTCCCCCACCCCAGCTGTGCTGGGTGAGAGCCAGTCCGGTGCCAACGAGCCTGTGCTGTCCACCCCGGGTCACACAGGTCCAACGCGCCCATGCATCCTGCCCGGCCCCCCCACCTGTCCTCCGCTGTCTCCTGGGACCTAGGACGAGGGCGCCTCCTTCAGGACTTGGGGACAGGTCCGAGGGCAGATGGCAGCCCTTCAGTTGGGGCCTGGCTGGGGTTAGAGGGTCAGGAGCTGCAAGGCATGGGTTTGACCAGGGCTGGCCCTGAAGCCAGCCCTGTGGCTGCCCAGTTGGAAACTTGATGTTGTCCTGATTTAAGTCTTCCTGAAGGGCACTGGTGGGGGTGCAGCGGGCCCCTCCCCTGGGAGCTCAGCATCCAGGGCTGGCCACCAGTTGGCCACCAGTGATGCTGGGGGGGCCACCTGGATGTGGGACCCCTCAGCCCTGGGCTTCCTCCCCCTCAGCAGCATCCTCCCTGGCTTCGGGGTGGGGGACCAGGCCTCGCAGGTGAGCTGGAGGCCGCAGAGCAGGCCCAACCAGTGCCTGGTCCTTCCCAGCGCCCACCGGCCCACTTCCCCCACTGGCCCGGCCCAGACCAGGACGACTGCGGTGGCCAGTTGCCAAGAGGGGCTCCTTGTCCCCAGTGGTTGGGGACCATGCCCGACCCCTCGGGCAGATAGCGAGGGCTGGGGGGAGGTGGGCACAGCAAGGGCCCGGCCCCCAGGACTGCAGGGAGAAGGGAAAGGAGACCCCTGCCACCCCCTCGTCCCAGAGGCCCTCAGGACAGAGCCGGGGGCCACGCGACACCTGCGTCACGGAGCGGCAGTGCCCCAGCGAGCCCTGTGCCCCCACGCAGTGAAGACCTCTACCTCAGGGTGCAGGGGTGGGCACCCCCAGGGCTTCTGGGGAAAGAAGGAGGGTTGAGTGTCCGGAGGTCCTCCCGAGCCACCGCAGGGCTGAGGCCTCGCAGCAGCCCCACCCACTCCGATCCCACGGCAGGTCCCTGGGGCCCGAGCGAGCCGCGGCCAGTCTACTCCCTTCACTGGGCCGGGGCTCGCATGGTGACAGCCACCTAGCGCTTGGTTTTCCCCGGAGTTTAATGAGCTGTGATCGCATTTTCAGACATGCGGTGAACACTTGTAGCTGTGAGTGAACCATTTTTTCGCAAATTTATTTCTTTGCTTACTAGTCAACGCTGGGCCGGGGGCCCGTGCAGCCTGGCCCCTCACCCTGCCGCCGGGCCACTGTGTGCCCAGCCTGTGCTGGCCGGGAGGCCGCGTGAGGGGCCAGCTGTCCTGCTCTGACACACTGCTGGCTGCCACCCCCAAATCTCTCCAGAGCACCCTGTGAGCAAAGCAGCCCCGGGGCGGAGGCAACCTGGCTAGGCTGAGTGCACAGAGGCGGCCGGTTTCAGGAGCCTGGCTCCCGCCGGCGAGAGGGCAGAGGGCGGCGGGGACCGCGCCAGCTTCTGTTGGAGCTGGTGGCTCCTTCGGGAAGTTCAGGGGGAAGAGGTGGGCTATTTGCAACCGCCCTTGCCGCGGGCCCGAGTGTGCTGGCCAGTGGGCACACGGACTGAAGGAGTGGGGACCCCGCACTGTGGGCTCAGCCCTCCAGACCCCTGACGCCCCCTGCTCCAGGGCCCGCGGATGACCCACAGGTGCTGGCTGCAGCCCAGCTGTCACTGGGGACCCTCCTGGCAGGGGTCACGCACTCCTGTGAGGAGAGCGAGGCTGGGGACAGCTGAGTGGCCCACCTGGGGCTCCAGCTTAGCACAGGCTGCCAGGCCCGGGGGGGTAAGGGGGGTGCAGGACAGGGGACCTCGGTGGGGGGAGGGGGCCCGGGTCGGGGATGCATCCTTCTCGGCCATGATGGCGTCCAGCACCCACATGCTCAGCTGCTGTGGGCAGGGAGGGTATTTTCCTCCGGTCCCTTCCTCCTGGGGTGGCCAGAGGTGGGGAGGGGTCCGCACCTGCCCCTGCTGGCCTCCTGCCCCCAGGACCGGACGTGAGCGCCCCACATCCGCTACGCCAGGTTTGCCCGCCCCACTCCCCCTCTGGCTCAGGTCCCTGCCGATTGCCTCCCCCTCGGCATGCTGCCCCTCCGGGCTGCAGGTCCCTGGCCCTGTCCTGGCCTCGCACGCGTGGAACAGCGTGGGTGCTGGCAGCCCGGGCTCTGCACCGTGTTCCTGCAGCCGGAACGCCCCGGCCTTGACCCCTCAGACTGAGAAAGTTCCCTGCCTGGGGCGTCCTGTCCTCCACCTGGCAGCCAGGACAGGCCTGGGGCGCTTGGAACGGGACGTGGAAGTTCCCAGGAATCAGAAAGCGAGGCCCAAGGGCCCAGTGGGCACCCCACCCTCCACTTCCTGCCCGTCACCCTCCCGGGCTGGGACCCAGGTGCCCCCACCTTTGCTGGCCCACATCTGTGGAGGGCTCCCCGCCTGCCCAGCCCACCCCAAGCCCTCTGCTCCCACCTCTCCTGCTGCCAGTCCCAGGAGCAGGGCCCGCCCCCAGGGAGGGGCGCCTGTGGGGGGTGGGGTGGGGCCACAAATAGGTGAGTCTGAGTCGGTAGCGCTGATGGCCACTTTGTCCCTCGGTGCTGCAGGGATGGAGCCGCCGTGCACCCTGTGGGTGGCACTTGCCCTGCTGGGGGCTGTGAAGGGCCAGATCCTGAACACCCCTCCAACCGTCACCCCGGCCTTGCAGAGTTTTCAGGAGGACCAGGTCTGGGGGCTGGGAGGGAGAGGGCGGCAGACAGCCCTGTGCTGACCGGGGGCCCCGGCCCTGCTCCCAGCCTCCCCCATCATGGAGACCCCCGGCCTCCAGCAGGAAAGCACCCTAGACAGACGCTGGGTCAGCACTCCCTCCTGTAACCCGCCAGTCCCTGTGAGGCGGGAACGCCTCAGACCCTCTGCACAGACAGGGAAACTGAGGCTCGGAGAGGCCAGCTGCTGGCCAGCGTCGCCGGGGCAGGCCGGGAGCCCATGCTTGGCGGGCTCCTGCAGCCACCCCGGGCTCTGCCCGCCCCGGCCCTGCAGTTCCAGGGAGAGTGGTTTGTCCTCGGCCTGGCGGGCAGCTCCTACAGGAAAGTGGACAGGTCCCTCCTGAGCCCTTTCATCGCGACGTTCGAGTTGAAGGGGAGCAGCCGCCTCAAGGCGTCCTACGCCATGATGCGGTGAGTGTGAGCCCGCGCCTGCGCCCGGGGCCAGCGGCTCTGTGGCTCAGGTCCACCCTGGGGTCCTCCCCTAATGCCGAGGCCAGCCCAGACTGCCGGCGACCAGGTCTGGGGGCGTACACAAAAATGCGGGGCGCTGGCTGGAGCACAGGCCAGGAAGAGCCCACGGGCTGGTGGGTCTCAGGTCCGGCTGGGTCCAGGAGCCCCC